ATAAACTTGAATCTTGTACTTTGCGCAACGGTTGATCATTTAAAGCAGTATAAGGGTCTTTTCTTGAGGCAACTGCAGCATCACTGTACCTTATATCACTAAATTGAGACTGTTTAGAGTAATCTTCAGACTTGCTTCCACCAACATAATCATAGTTCTGAAGATTGCTTTGGCTTTTAGGATAAACTTTAGGGTCTTGGAATAAAGAAGATCTTTGTACATCACGATAATCAGCCACTCTACCATCGGTATATCGTTCGTCTCTAAAGTTTGCAGCAACATCTGCTTCTGCTACTCTTTGATTATATGTTGCTGAGTTTGGCAACTTTCTATATTCTTCCCTTGACATTAACGGAGCAATTGTTTCTTCGGGGCGCCTTTTAAGGTCATTTTTAAGATGTACAGGTCCATCATAAACACTTCCATGCTGATTAACTGGATAATCTTGTCTTCTTTGAGACAAATCTCTTTCTTGAATAGAATACATATCCCTATTATAAGGATCTCGAGTTTCTCTACCCAGATACTCTCTATGACTTTCATGATCGCGTTCTCTAAATACATTGTCTTGATATTCATTATTAGTTGAATAAGGAGTATTTTCCCTAAGATACGACTCATATGCAGCTTGTGATGGGAAACTGCCTCTAAGACGCTCACGATTAGATAAAACTGAATCTCTCATGACATCTCTGTATGCACCTGGCATTCCATTATAATCATCATTTCTAGAATCACGCAAATCCTTACTTTGATCATTAAAGGAAATGTCATGCTCTTTAGATAATCTATCTCTTTGATTGTCAAATGTGTTAATTCTATCACCTCTGTATAATGAACCTTGATTATCATTTCTATAGAAAGAGCTTTCATTATCAGATCTTGTAAAGAGATCTCTCTTGTCATTTCTTTCACTTGCATCCCTTAATCTTTGTGAATTAACTCCTTGATCATCCCTCATCACTATGTCTCTTCTGTAGTCTCTAGGTAATATATCCCTTTTATCAACTTGTACAGGTAATTCACGTCCTTCACCTTTTGTATAATCAGACCATGCATCCTTAGATGCTATATGCCTGCGATCTTCTTTTGGTGCAGATTCCCTGTATAAAGGTTCTCTGCGATCATCTCTTCTAAAGGCGTCTCTTTCATTGCGCTCATCTTTAATATCTCTACCGCGATCTCTACTATTAATTCTTTCATGAGTCACATCTAGTTGCCTTTCAGACCTTTTTAAACTTGTTGAACGACTTCTGGTTTCTGATCTGGGAGATATTTGAGAACGTTCAACTTCTGTCAAAGGTTTGGGAGCAAGTCTATCACTTTGAAACCCAATGTTATTTCTATTATGTATGGAGTCTGGAAGTTCTTTATTATGTTGTCCAAAAGCAACAGGAGCAAGATTACCAGGCGCTGTTCGTGGCTTTTTATCATCAATAACTCTTCCATCATCTTTATCAGGAAAAGATCTTTTAACTCCATGTTTAAGGTCACCCTCTTTTCGATAATTTTCTACTAATTCTCTGGCCATTGGCATAGTCTCCTCAATATACCAAACATCATCAAATGATGGACCAACTTCTGGAAGTGTAAAATTTTTTTTCATTTCAAGAACAGCTTCATCTGGTATAAATTTTCCTTCAATTTTTTTTTGCTTTTCAATTCTGTCTGAAAGGACTGCTGGTTTATTGATGAGTACAGCTGCAATGCGTTTGTAGCCACGAAATGATTCCATTTTTCTGCGTCTTGCTGTAAAATACACATTAGTTTGATCAAGTATGTAGTTCCTGGGTCTTGTTTTGGCTACATCAAACAACTTGTTTAAAATAGCAGATGCTCGCTTAATAAGCTCTTCCCAACGACCATGATAATTTCGTTTTTTTCCCAAATTTGATACTTTCATTCTATCAATAATAAAATTAGTGCCCAAAATGTAGTATTTTTTTTCCTTATGATCACTAGCATATTTTTCACACCAGTAGGATTTACCACTTCCAGGAAGACCAACCATCATAATTATTTCAGCTTCTTCTGGTTTAGTTGGTCCTGGAGGAGGGCTAATCAACTCAGATGCATGCTGAATCAAAACAAAACCATTAGTTAAAGGGAACTTAGGAGGTTGAGCACCAAAATTTACACGAAATTTCATATTTTTACAAGCAATATGTGGAAACAAAGCTTGGGACTTTGTAAGCTCATTTGTAAATCGAAATGCTACTCCAAGATATTCACCATTTACCATATAGAATATAGCTTTTGGAGAAGCATCTAAATCAACATAGCAAGTAACTGTGTCTCCAACTCCAAAACGTTTTCCATAGTCACGAAATTTGCATTCATTGGAAGACTTAGCAGTCCCACCATAACCCCATGAAAACTTATCTTCACCAAGTTGGTAATCAGAACCATCAATGCTCCAACCAACACGTGAAACATACAAGTCATTTTCGTCTGCAATATTCACTTTAAGCTCTTCTAGAAGGTGCACTTCAAAGCAGACCTATGGTACAAAATGTCATCACAGTATCAATAAGATTGAGGTTCTTGAACTTCAAGTAGAGACATTAAAAATATTTTTTCATTTAATTTTAAAAATAAAGAACACAAATTTTATATACAGTTTTAAAAACATAAATTTATTGGTGATTTGCAAACATTTACAGAACTTATTTTCTTTTTAATGTAAAAATATAAAAGTAACTTGGCATTATATGCTACTATGATTGATAAATGTTAAGGCAGTTAAGAACGAGTTTTTTGACCAATAAGTCCTCCATTATTAGAAAATTTGTTAGATAAAGCAACCCCATTTTATTAGCCACTATGTAAAGAATTTTAATTTTTATGTATTTAGTATTAAAAAAATATTTTTTTAGAAATACTTTTCATACTTAATTAAAACCCTTCAAAGACTTTTTGTCTAAAACTAGTTTTATTTATGGGTGCATTTATAAATTTAAATGCATGTTTAATTATATAATATTTTTGTTTTAATGTTTGATACACCTTCTGAATAAACTTATGTATTTTTTAAAATATGTAACAGTTACTACTTCATTATAACTTTTTACTTTCCAGATAGTTTCAAGAGGTAATTATAACTTATAACAATAGTATCAATAATATAACACTGAAAACATATGAATCAGGGGGGAAATGCAGTTTTTTTAGTTTCCTGAAAGTTTACATCGTTGGACTTATGCTCACTTTTAACATTCACCGATTCATATGTAATGAGCAGAGTTAATGCATTAATGAAATTTTGTGGGTTCATATAATATAACATTTAAAAATCCTGTCACTATGATTTATTAAGATATATTAGCAATGTTCTTACTAGTACTTCAACCTGACAGGTCTGTAGCTTACAAACACATAATATAAGAGCTATTCAGTTAGCAAAAGTCCTATATATTTTTGAAAAGTAATTAAAAAAAAAAGCTATTTGATCAATCTCTGAGGTTTAGTATACATTTATTTCTCAGTTTATTTATTAAGAAGTTAATTAAATCAGTACGATGGTCACCATGCCATAATTTGAAACAATCTAACATATTTACAATTAAACTATTTTATGAGTTTCAGCTGTGCCATAAATATATTTAATTTTTAAATAATATACTTTTGAGAGTATTAGTGATTATTAAAAAAGAGATGTGTGTATTGTGATGAATATATGAAATTGAAATTGTGATAGCAAAAAGTTAAAAGTATTAGTATTATGTGTGCATATATATATATATATATATATATATATATATATATATATATATATATATATATATATATATATATATATATATATATATATATATATATATATATAAACCTAAAAGTGTTTAAGGTCTGCAAAAAATTGCTGACCTTGTTTCTATGTTTTATGGTAAGACCTTTGTCTTACCATAAAACATTTTAAGAATTCAGCAAATTATTGCCGACCTCATTTTTCCTAATTCTCAATTCGTAGTCCGTTGTCAACCCTAATTCCAAGGGCTGTGTATGTATGTATGTATGTATGTATGTATGTATGTATGTATGTATGTATGTATGTATGTATGTATGTATGTATGTATGTATCTATCTCTCTCTCTCTCTCTCTCTCTCTCTCTCTCTATATATATATATATATATATATATATATATATATATATATATATATATATATATATATATATATATATATATATATATATATATATATATATATATATATATATATATATATATATACTGATTTTAAGATTTATAGAATGGTTATGGGTTACAAATAACTTATTTCTAAAATAAAGACATCTCTAAGATTCAACAATCTGCAATGCATATCATTGAAAAACAAGCATCTTTAAAGCATGTCATGTGACTGTCTATAGAGATTGCTAAGTGCCAAGACAAGTTGTTTTCATATCTTAGAAAAAGCTTAGAGAATGTTTAATTTTATTTTAACTAACCAAAACAACTTACTTATCAAAATATTGACAAAAAACTTTTTCAGCAGTTTTGTAACTTTGCGGTCTTATTTTTGTTTCGAAGCCTAATATCAGGCTTATGATTCTGCTCATAATAAAAATATCTGGTTTGATTAATGAATCACGATATGTTTTTTAAATGATTTAATAAATGCTTGGGTTTATTATAAATGGTTCATTCAAAATATTGTATTTAATAAGTCTTGGGTTTTCCCATTTTTAATTTGTCTTCAATGATTATCAAACATTTTTGCTGCATTTCAGTTTATAAAGTGTTTCAGTTGTCAGATGTCACTCTTGACAAAATGAAAGATGTAACACAACTATGATTGGGGTTTTATTTTAAATAAATACATTTATTTATATTGAAAAAAAAAATGAACACAGTATTGTATTTTCACCAACAATCAGCAAATCAAATTTATTTGAGTACTTTTCCGCTAAATCCTAAAACTACTATTCTTAGTTTTTCAATTTTATTAGTGACTTGTTTTTAACAGTGAAAGGAAATAAATAGTATTATAATTCTGCCATTAAGTCATTTTTGGGAAATTGGCTAGCAACAAGGTAACAACATTGGTAACGATGAAAACATTAATTTTGAGGATATTTTGCTGTTACAACCCTGTTTTTATGACCTTGAAACTTTTCATAGTTTGAAAAAACTATATAATTAATGGAAGTTAGCAAGTTATAAACTCTTTAAAGGAATCCCATGTGCTAAGATAAGTTATGCTTATTTTGCAAATAAACATTAGAAAATAAGCTATTTATTGAGATATTACAAACCAATATTTGCTGTTTTGCTATCATACTTCTGGTTGAGAGGTTAATATTTATGTTTTATGAAACTGCATAGCTTTTTCCATTATAAAAAACATTTGGTTTGAATATTTCACCACAGTTTATTAAAAGATTTACACAATTAGATTTGGTTTCCCTTTTTTATAAAAAAAAAATTTGCAGTATATTAAGCATTCAAATTTTGAAAAAATAAAAATTGTAGTCAAACAAAGAATATCACTTTTCTACTTTGTTTTATTTTTATTTCCATTAAAATATTTTGTTTGCATATATCATGAAATTAAATTTATTTACACTATTTCTTACTTAATCCAAAAAAAGAAAATATTATTTTTGGTTTCAAGACTATTAGCAAAACTTGTTTTTAACAAATATCAGAATAATTTTTAAATTTACATATCTTATATTTATGTATAAGGTTACCTGACTGTACTCTTTTACGATGGAGCGGGCGCTAAAATATGTTATTATTTCTAGTTGTAAATTACATTTAGTTCTTAATTTTAACGTTTGAAGCAGTGATTAAATTCTAGTATGATTGACTGCCCTGCAGTTTAGCCAACTCTCCTATAGAAAAAGAATACGTCTGGTCACTTTAATTTATAGCACTACTATTTAATGTTATATATAGAGGCATTCTTAAGGATATATACAGAAGCATACTACTACATAAAAACTAATCGCATAAGGGAAAATCCAAATATAACATAAACTTTATAACTGGATTTTAGGTTATTTGAAAGAACTTTTTGTATTGATATTATTTATTAACTGAAAAAAGAAATTAATCAGAAAAAAGAAATTAATTCTGATTTATTATAATAAATCAGAAAAGTTGCATTAAAAATAATAAAGTTTTTTGCTTATATCTTGATATTTGTTTTGAAAAGTTTAATTAACGAAACATGATTTTTAAGGATTATTTAAGATGTCTTGGCACTTTGGTATCTTTAATAAAAAAAAATTATACCTAACATATTAAAAAAGGGATAAACAAAACATTAAAATATTTAACCTTAAAAAATAATTATTATTTTTATTGACATCAAAGATAAACAAATTAATCACACCAAAGTTTTTTTTTAATCTGAAGGTAAGATTAATGCGATATTATAGTTAATAAATGACGTCAATATAAAAAAAGTTCTTTCAAATAACTTAAACTGGAGATATAAACGTTATGTTTGGGTTTTCTTTTCTGCAATTAATTTAATGTAGAAAAATGCTTTTTTTTATATAACCTTCTAATAAAACGTATAATAAACAAATAAAAATAACACGATCAATAAGTAACAGTTTAAAAGTCTAACTTATTATTTATTTCAAAAACGAAATTAATATTAGTGCTATAAATATAAGATAAATAAATTTAAAAATCATCCTGATCTTTTTTAAAAACACAATAAAATCTAATAAAATCTGAAACCAAAAATACTATTTGTTTTTTTTTTTTGTTTTTTTTACATTTAAAAAAAAAAAAACATGGGTGTTACTATCAGGAACAGGATAAATCTGAAATAAGCACACCGAAAAAGTTTTACCAAAATTTTTAACATCAAGGCTACTGATTGGTTTCAATTTACTGTAGCAATAATAATCTCTTCCCTAAAGCGATGATATTATTGCAACCTTATATGAACATGGAAAACAAGTATTTTGGTTAATGTAAAAAATAGAATAAGGCAGAGTGTTCTAATAAAGGCTGAGTCTTATTAAGAGCCAAAATTAATTCTGCTTTTATTGCATTTATTAATTAGGCAAGACTTTTATCTAGTTGATTTTTAAAATTTTGTGTCTATTGATTTTGTTTCAGTTTTTATAAATGTTTCTATGAGTCTTGATTTTTTATAAATCTTATTTTTGTCAGGGTTAGTATAACAAAAAACACTTTTTACTAATGACTACTTTATGTAGTCATTTTGGATTTTTTCAAGCAACTTTGAAACACACTTTATGTAATAAAACCTGCCACAGCCAACTCAGCGCTTTAGTAGTACTTCGGTACGCAAAAATGTTGGTCAATAACGACGCTACTTTGGATTAGTCTTAATGATTATTTGTGGCTGTTTCTATGCTAAGCCAACAATATCTTCGGATATAAGAACATTGTATAGAAAAATATAGCATGAAAACTCAAATAAAAAAAAATATATACTAATATTTTTTCAGATACAGCTTTGTAATTTGTTTAGTTACTTTAATATGGTTATGTAAATTGATTTGTTGGTTA